TCACAAAAAAAGTGTTAAAAACAGTAACCAAAAAAAGCAAAAATTTCTTTTTGCAGTAAAAAAATTTTATTAATATACTCTGTAATAAACTTTTTTTCAAATGCAGTTTTGGAGTTTATCTTAACTATGCCAGATTTTTTTCAGCAACTTTTTTTCGCCTTTAAATGACAGAAAAACAAAACGGTGTTCAAAAAGCATTAAACATTTAATGACAACTTTGGTTATGTAACATCAATCATTTCTGACATTTCAGGTGATATTATTTGCACTTCTGAGTAAACAGCACAATTCGTTAGCAAAATCCAAAAATGAATTTTTTAATTTTTCTAAAATTATATGCTAAATTCGTTAACCTAAGTATAGTTGTGCTTTCCAATAATTAAACAAAAAAAAATAAGCGCTGATATCAAATTTCGTTTAATTTAATTCCAATCTCATTGATTGCTTATTGTTGGTTAAACTAAGTGTCTTTTGAATTATTTTTAGTAATTTTGGTGTTAGTGCTACTGCCAGAAAAAAAAAAATTCAATACTTTGTCAGGGTTGAAACAATAATATTATCATAAAAATTATTATCATTTACAAAACACACATTGATCAAAATTTCCTTCTACACTGATTTGATCAAATTTATTTACTTTAATGTTGCTTATCTTCTGTGTTGTCAATCCTTAACTGATTCTTAGAAAAAGACATTAGAAAGCAACCGAAATAAAAAAAAACAATAATGCTTATGGTAATGTAAAAAAAGTTGAGTTAACATTTCGATTGACAAAGGTTTAAGGCAATTACTGCTTCTACTGCTTTCATTATTACTCTTTAGTCAGCCTACGAAAAATATGCTTTCTCAAAGCACATTTCTTTTTATATTTTACTGTTTTTAAAAAGTATAATAAACCTTGTAAAACAAAGAAAAAATTGACATATTTTTAAAGCGGTATGTTGTTACCGAACTTATCGGATTATGTTCAAAGCAAAAAAATTCGGTGACATCAACAAAGATGTCGTGTCCTTCATAAATCTTTTTTTCAACTACATTTTCTTTGAATTTCAAGCCGAGGGATCGAGTTGAAGCCAACAGAATCTTAGCACTGGCGGTTCTATTTGGTGCTTATTCAGCGTAATAAAAGTATTTTTAATCTTTCTGTTTTCTTTTTATTTTTTTTAGCAAACATTTTTTTTCCAGGATATATATTTCTGCTTCTTTTCTTGTAAAACAAAGAGCAATTTATTAAGCTTTATTTTTGTTTTATTATATTCTTTTTTTTTGTTTTTTTCAACTATAACTTTCATTTAACTTTTTTAAGTTTCTAACGTTAATTAATACTTTAGTAATCTGATCAATAAACGAAAAAATAAAAATTTGCATTTTTACCAGTTGTAAGTTAATTGTTCTAATTTTAACTGCTGAAAAAATATAAAATTTTTTAGTAAAATATGATGTTTTTTTGTACTGGCACCTACTTAAGTCTTTTTATAGTTTTTTTTTTCTAAGCGTATTATAAAAAGTCAGCATTTTAAGAAGCTTCTTCTCTTAATTAATCGGTAACAGAAACAGTCAGAACCAACAACAGTTTGCTTTTTTTCCTTTTACGGTCAGATTTCAATCAGTCGAGTTAAATTTTTGTCAAAGCAGTAAAAGTTTACAGGTGGTAAAGATGCAAATTTGTAGAAAAGTTTTGCCATTTTGAATCGTTTGTAAACCGTGTCAAATAAAGAAAATTGCAGTAATTTTACTTGAAATTTCGAATACCAAATCAAGTTTGTTAAATGAGAAATTTGGTTTCCTATCTCATCGCTTGTTCAATTCTTTACTGCTTTGTATATAAAATTTAAAGCTGTATGTTTTAAAAGGTTGAAAATTACAAAACTAATAGTAGTTTGTCAAATAATACTTTGGAAATACCAATTTTTCTTGTAAGAAAAGAATTATGTGATACTTTTTTTTAAAATGCATGTTATTCATCGAAAAGCAAGTTTATTAAACCAACTTTTTTTAATGTAATGCTTTTTGAACACCGTTTTGTTTTTCTGTTACACAAATATATTCGTCTAGCTATTTCTACTTATTTCTATTTGTTTAATTTGATATAAAATAGCTATTCTCTGATCAGTTTTTAAACAATATGGTAAAACAATGTAGATATTCTGACAAGAACTGATTTGTTTCCTTTTATAGCCTACGAATCGTCAATGGCATCTATTACTAATTCTGTTTGAACTTTGAAATACCAAAATATTCATTTATAAAACTCAACCTGAAAGATAAGCTCGAACTTAAATAAGATAACGATAAAGTGTTTATGCGAATAAGCAAAAAATAAAAAATGTAGACTATTTTTTTTGATTAGCTAGTAGGTAAATACGTCTTTGCTGCACAGATATAGTTTAAATGATAAAAAAATAACTAAAAACAGATAGTTGCTGAGTGTTTAAAGCGTTTAACGTAAAATTTGTTTTTTAAATTGCAGTTTTAAAATATTTTTTTCTGACTTTTAGCAAAAGTTGTTGTGCAAAGTCATTTTCTGTCTGAACAAACAATGACTAATTTTTGTTAGAGCATTATTGCTTAACTTCTATTTCGGTTTCGTTTATTCCGTTTATTAATTGCTCAGAAAATTTCTGTGAACAAATAGAACTTTAATTTCCTTACAGAATCATATGCAACTTCGAAAATCCAGCAGTAGTTTCCGAATTTGATAAAGGATTAAAAGGGACAGTGGAAAGAATTATCCGTGTCCGGAAATAGACGAGACATACAGTAAACAGCCCCACCAGTGGGTGAGAAACGTTGATTTTGCGACACATATGCGAGCTGTGAACAATATCTGTGTAGACAACCCGAATAGAGTGCGCTCACTGGATCAGAACCCCACTCTTTTTGCACTATAAACCCCAACTCGACAACTGCACTACTAAGTTAGACAGCCAGTACTTCTATCACGTACTTTAGAAGGAAACAACTAATGACTAAATCGATTAGAATTTTTAAATCAAGTAAATAATTACCTTACTAATAGTTCTCAAGACAACTGCATATGACAGCTAGAAGATTTGTCAACAAAATGAGGAAATTTTTTAAACACATAAAAGTCGATCTTATACTAATCTTATTACTCTTCTAAACAAGATAAAAAAAAAAACATTGCCAAAATTTTATAAAATTATATAAGCCTATTCTGACAAAAAAAAAAAATGAGCATTTCAAGAAACCCGTGCTTCGATTATGTAATTCTGTAGTCTTTAAGTTGCCAATTCTGGGGTGCCTTTTTAATGAAACACTTTTCGAACATGAGTGCAAACCTTGTTGGACTAGACATTATGAAAAGAAAATAAGCGATGTCTACGATGTAGACGATTTCAGTTAGCCAGCTGAAGCTCTGTTTGATTATATTTCATTAGGCAGAACTGGCTTTTTACAGGACTGAAAAACGATCAATGTTTTCTGACTTTTCAGTGATGTTAAAAAAATGTCTAATCGTAAACATTTTGTATTTCCATTTTTATACATAACGCCAATTGAAAATTCTCGTGCTGCTTGGCTATTTTTACAGAATCCTTTAAACGTATAATAGCTCTGCTTATCTGGTCTATTTATAGCACCTATTGTTATTAGTTTTTGTAATTAAAGAAAGAAATACAATTTTTTTTGTTTACCATGATTAGTTGAATAAATGAACTAATTCAGTAAATTATTTAAATCATGCTAAAATTTAACTGTCTGTCCATTTTTTTTAAAAACTTTTTGCCGATTCCAAATTGCTGTTGACACATTTTTCGTCGTTAATTTTAGTTTACATAACAAAAACTATTTACAGGACAGGTTTACATATACCTGTCCATATCCAGTCTTGCGCTTCCTCTCAACCGAAAGCTTTTTAAAGCCGACACCAAAATTCTTTTTACTGATTTCCAGAACCATTCTGTAAAATAAAGATTTTATTCGTGTTGCAAATCTTAAATAATTTTTCTCCGTTTTGTTGATCATACAAAAAATTTAATGCAGCGAAAAAAGATAAAAAAAGCATAAAACTAATCAATCTCTATTATCAAAAATTTTTATTTTAGATAAAACCTAAATTTAATTGGGAATCATTCTTGAAAAACAACTTCATAACAATGCTGAACTGCATTCATATATAACAGAAGACTGTCTAGATTATACTCTGCCACCAGTAAGGAGCAGAACAGGCAAATAAGGTTAAAGATGTTTTTTACTGGTTTAAAACACTCTGATTTCCAACATCATTTGCTAAAACCTTAAACTCTAACGAGTTCTTACAGAAGTTGAATCAGCGTATAATGTTTCAAAAATATTTGCAACACAAAGTGAAACATAAGTTCTGAGTACAGATAAAGCTATTAATAGCTTACTCAGAAAGGAAGACTCACAGTAACAAAATTTGAAAGTTAGTAACTTTTGCCGTAGCATCTGTGTAGTCATTTCGTTCATTTTAAACGCGTCACCATTTCTTTCACTTGAAGCAGAATCTTGGAGTTACATAGAATTTGCTAATTTTACAAAGGAAAAGACGGCTTTTTGTGAGCTAGGTAATATTACAATTCCAGCTCTTCAACCGCTATCTACAACAAGCATTAACGATGCGACTTTGAGCGAGAAGCCCTTGAAGACCGGGGACTGTACTTTGGAACAGGCACTGCCGACAGTACAGATGAAGGAGCACATTGCAACTGGGTCATTACGCATTAAAAACGAGATTTTTCCTCAGATTAGTTCTATCTCTGCTACTGCTGCTTGCCACGGTCACCAGCGCAAAGTTTTGACAAGTGTCTTACCTGTGGAGGCAGGCGTAAAAGAAAAATTCATAGATTCTGCGACGCAGAATGTTTGAAATCTTACAAAAGGGGTTACATTGCACGGGTATGTAATCGGTCTTCGGCGTACTTCAGAAACAAGCAATCTTTGTCAAAGGCTGTCAATGTACGGAAATCGGGTGAAGCAAAGCGCTGCTGCGCAGTCTTCTCTACTTGCTTGTATAAATGTTTATGTATATCTTAAGGCGCTGCGCTCGCACGGGTATAATAGTGTGCCGCAGAGGCAGTGCTCCGGCTTTTCGCGTTACTGCTTCTGGCTTCCAATCCGTAACTGTGGTTTTAAACGAGTGTTTAAAAAGCGGAGAAGAAAAGGCACACGGTACCATCAAAGACATGGCAAAGGGATATCAGCGTGAGACTGTCAACCACAATCTTCACTTTATTGGTCCTAAGACCGGCGCTTACACGAACAGCACTGAGTCTCTATGGTAGAAATTCAAAAAGGAGCATAAATTACGGTGTGACGACAGGCACTGTTGAATTCGTATATGGAGGGATTCGTATGGAAGAACCACATCTGATTGAAAAAACGGAACACTGTCCACTGCGCCCAGGTTCCATTTGAAAGTGTGGACTTTAATCATGGGCTCCTGATCGGTTTGCTTCATGACAATCCAATTTTGGAAAGTTCCTTGTATGAGAGGCCCTAATGCACCTTTCCTTTTTAGTTTTTCCAACCTGAGATAAAAACTAAGTAAGAGTATAAATGCAACATTGGTGTAAACGTTCAGAAAACACTACCCCTGACGGGCGCGAACTATCAACCTCTGCTTGAA